GCTGGGACTGGGACGGGGGCTGTTTGTATTGCAGGGTGACTGATGCCAGCATGCAGGAGGCAGTATTTTTTGAGCCCTGTTCCTTTTTAGCTGAGTGCTTCTGGGAGTGGTAAGGGAATGTCATTGCACACTGTGGCAGAGCTCTCCTGAGAGCTCTTTTCTTCTGATCACAGTGTGCGAGTGCACTACAGAGCAAACATGTTTGCAACCTTCCTGTTCTTTCTGGTTTTTTGCTCTTTGCTGATGGGGCCAGGGCTATGAGTTATGCAGGTTACTGCCCAAAAGAGAGTTTCTGTAAAATACCCTCTTATCCGTGAACATGAGGACGGAATTTAGATGGCAACTAGATGATGTAGGTGTCTTGTGGAAGTGACTAGCTGATTGAGAAAGGCTTGAAATCTTTCCCATGCACTTTGAGCACTGTAAGGGGTTGTTTGCACTAGTTCTTACTGTGGTGGTGGGGAAGCTGTTTAATCTCCAGCAGCTAATTGTGTAGTTATACAGTTATAGTGACTGTGAATGCCTTTCTGCACTTAAAGTATCATGAGGACTAGCTGATGCTTCTTGATGAAATAGCATATTGCTGTGCTCTATTGTGTTTAGTTCTTACTGGTTTTCAGGTTTAATTTCAGATACCTGCCCTTCCTAGGACAGTGTTTCAAAGGGAGTTTGTTAAAATGCCTCCATCCCACATGAATCTGAAATAGGAAGCTAGTATTAAAGTGGTTGTTAGTGAAGGTCCTTCACATCAGGGTTAAGGTTTTTCCAGGTGTGACGTGTAACTCAAATGCTGAGTTTTGTGGCTTGCAGCAAGACAGTTGCCAAGCGTGCCACTGCAGGATTGAAATGTAGAAATCTGATGCTTGGAACGAGGGGTTTGAAAGGGCATTTGGAGCTTTGGTAGGTGTTAGGATTTCTTGTCTGAAGTTTAATGGAAATAGCCTACTTGTACTAACGTGGCACCCTGTGCCCCATGTGGGTCCCTGCAGTGAAGTGTGTGCTAAGTCTAGTCATGAGGTATATAGCTGAAATAACCAAGAGAAGGTAGGAACTAAGACAGAGAGAAAATAAAATCTGTTTGTTGCAGGACAGGTTTGTGGTAGATCTGACAGTAAAAATCAGATCTCCTGGCCCTTGATGTGGTCTTCAACTACATGGTGCTGTCAGCTTTTAAACAGGCATTAAGCCTTAAAATTCTTAGTGAAGACACCAGTTTTACATATCAGTGTGATTAAAAGATTTACATGAATTTAGGTAATGTTCCTTCCTCTTTCAGTGATTGAAAGGCTAGGAACTTCAGTTTCTCAGCCTAGATGACACTTAAAACTGCATCTGATACTGGGAAGCTTCAACTTTACATACTGTTTCTTTTCTGCCTGTGTCTGTGTGGAAACTGATCTCTTATTCGCTGTCTGTTGCCTCTTCTATCTGCTCTGTGGTGGTTTTGTGGACAATATGACCCTTCTTGCCAAACATGACTGCTCATGGGTTGTTCATGTGTTCGATGAGCACCTGCATCTCCTCCTCTACCTCTTCCTCTTTTTTTCTTTCCCCTTGATTTTTTTTTGTGTGTGTTGTGTATTGGTATCTGATGCTTTCTGCTTCTGACTTGGAAGACTGACACTGGTGTTTAGTATTGTCAATAATGAATTTATTTTTATATACTACTTTTCTTAAGTGCTATTCTGGAAGGCATCTGGTTTCCTGTCTAGGATCATGGTAGAAATCCTGCTTTCTGTAAATGAGTACAAAGATTGCATTTGAGTTGAATGTTGCTGGTTTTGTTTGAAGGCTAAGGACCTTAGATTTCCATGTTGCTGAATTCAATAAATGCCATGGATGCCTTTTTTTTTTCATGTAGAGTACTTCCTTTTCACAGTTTCTGTAATTTTGGTATTTGAAGATACTGGCAGATTGTTCTAGTCATGGCCTGTTTTACCTTTAGTTGGTGTTACTGCTGAACATAGTTTCAATAATCTTCTTTATTTTTAATAGGTAAGAAGGTATTTAAAGGATATTTTTGAATCCCTCCTGGTTTTTTAGCACTCTTTTGAGAGGTTCCGAATTTGATCTTCTAAGAATTTGCCATCTACCCATGTCACTGCAGTGCTTGTGTTGCCTCTTAGTTTCTTTGTTGTACCCTCTGCAACATCTAGGGTTATGTGGAGAATGTATGCCTTGTTTTCATGCTTAGCAGAAGATGTCATAGGGAAACTCCTATTTTTCAGTGATTGCATTCCAATCTTTTTTTTTTTTAATCTTTGGTATTAGAGACTCAGTTGTTGAGTTTTTAGCTCTTAGTATACTTGCTTTAGTAGTCATGTGGTTTAAAGTGGGATTAGTCAGTTAAGACTGCATGGCAGGGTCTTTTTTCTAATTGCAGTTTTTTTTCTGCAGTGGTCAATATAGAAACATTAATTAAAAGGTCTGTAGATGTAACAAATTTGTGGGTGTCTAGTCTGACATGAATGTTGCCTGTGAAGGTGTGGGGACTTCGTAGCCACTAGAAATATGCTGTCAACTTAAAAAGGTTTTGCTGTCTGTTGACTAGCAAAACCCAAACATAATCATCTAAATGGCTCTTCCAAGAATAATCACTGTTCCTTTTGTTTATGGGTTAAGCTTACCTTCTTAATGTCAAATTTTCTTCATCGGGCTTTCAGAATGAGATTTGAAACACAAAAATCACACAATCTTTCCTGAGGGGAGGGAGAAGTCTTGTGTTTCACTTTTCATGTGTGTTCTCTAATAAATCAAAGTGCAAGATTGTCTTACTGCTGTTTTAGGTAGCATTGCAGCTTTGACAGAGCGAGCTAATGTATAGATGGCTTGTTTGTCATTTTGAGGGTGTGGGGGTGTTGTCTTGCAAAATCTTACCTTTTTATTATGTTCTTAGTGATGGTGTTGGTATATTTAAATCTGTGCAAATTGCCTGTTCCTGGTGTTCTCTACCTGCTATGTTCCTCACATATCTTGGAAAGGGAAATTCTTTTCTGTATTGTAATCACTGGGAGTCACTGCTCTTCTCTTGTTTGGTATTTGCAGTTGCTGAAATACGCCTGATTGCCTTGAGAACAAAAAGTTTCCAAATGATCTTCAGCTCTTCAATAGAATTGTGTAATGTTAGAATGGAATTCTCTTTTCCACATGCTTCTTTATTTCACTGAACAGTAACGGATTACTTGAGGAAAATGTTTTTCTATTGTTTTGCTTTCAGTTTCGTGTTTGCATATAGTTATGGTAGTTTGGCACAGAATGGGAGGAAAAGCATGGCAGGCAGAGGGTGTCTTAGGTGTTCTTACCTGCTTTTTTTCTTTTTTAGTTGAAGGGGATGAAAAAGCTTGCGATCCCTCCCAAAGTTACAATGTTACTTGGTACTTAAGATATTCTGACTGCTACAATGAAGTTTTCAACTTTGGGGTAAGAATTGTGTGGAAAAACATGGGTTATGATTTTTAGGGGTAAGCAGATCTGGGGCTGAGGGGATTGGAGATGTCTCACTTGCATCCTCATTGCTCTTTGGGCATAAAAGACATGCTCCCCCATTGGAAGGTAACAAATTTCTGGATCATTGGGAATGGAAAGTTTGCTGGAATTACTGACTTTTCTGGGTTTTGGGTAAGGTGGAAGTGTTTGTCAGAATTCTTTTAAACCTAGTAGCTTAAATAAGTGCATTGACTCTAAACTGAAGTGTGTGAGTTTAAGAGAGATGACAATATTATTTACAACAATGCATAATGACAGCAAATAGAATAAGTGGAATATTTTCATGTTTAGTCTAAATTCTATTCTTCGTGGATGCGCATTACAAGTATTAGTGATTTATACAAAAAGTATAGTGTTTCTATTAAATGTGCTAGAACACAACTGTGGTTTATACTGTGTAACACCTTTTCCATGTTTACTTAAAATATTGATTATGACCGTTGTAACTGCTAACCTAACACAGTACTGAGGTTTTTAATCTTTAATACAGTAATGTAGAGTTTGTTTATGGAGACCTGAAGTTTATGCTGGCTGCTGCCCCTCCACTGCAGGAATACTGCAATTTCTTTTTTTTTTTTTTTTTTTATTAGGTATTAATTCTTACTCAAACCCTGTATGGGGGTGTTTGCCCCCTGTTTTTTTGTTGTTGCTCCCTTTCCCCCCCCCTTGTTTTTTTTTCTTTGAGGAAGAATAGTCTTGTGTGGTCTTGATGGCCTTTATCCCATTAAATTCTGTTCAAGCATGTGTGCAGAGGGGAATTATGGTGCTCTCCAGGCCTTGCAGCTGCCTACTGAGATAAACAGCTTGATATGTTGCATGCTAACCTAAGTTCTCTTCTATGTTTGGCAGGATGAACAGGCAGAGTACTATTTTGGGGCTACATCTGAAGAGCATCCTGGTTGGTCAGGATACTATGCCACAGCGTCTCTCCTCTTTGCAAATTGCTCTGAGCTTTTCAGGCCTCAGGTATGGGTAGAAACTTCACAGTTTGCCCTGTTCATTCATACAATATACAAAGAAGGTGGTAGTTCCTGTTAGATGTGTTAGCATCCTATGTAAGTATCACTGCAGATTGAGAGGTACTCGTTTTTATCTGTTTGACAATCAAACTGCGATGATTACTTCTTAATTTTGCTTTACTTCTGCCTTGCTATTCACTATATGGCCCACCATGGGAGGCAGGGGGAAACCACTGTGAAGTTCAGTGCTTCTTTGTTTTTTTTTTTTTGTGGTTCTGTGTTTTGAATTTGTTTCACTTACAGAAGGCTACTGCTAGTTGAGTGGAAGTGTGAACCTCTGGCAGCAGACTGAAGCTCCCAAAAAAATTGGGTTGATAAAGGACTGGCATTTTTTGCTCAGATAGCATTCATTTATAATAGTGGAAATGAAAGTGTGTTGAGAAATAGGTTATTTAAGCATTGATAGCAGGTTAAAAATGAAAAATAAGTAGTGCTAGAACATGTTTGAAACAAATCAAATGGAAGAGAGAAGACAATGCAAAACAGCACATGGAAGCAGTGTGCAATCATAGTCTCTACACTGGCTGTATATCACCAGGTGAAGCTGTGCAGTCATACTAATGATAGTGTCAGTATAACATGCTGTCTTTCTTTAATGGTGTACTTAAGAATTCAAGGCAAACTGTGCAGTGTTGCATCTGTATTCAGCCGTTTCCAATTTAGACAAAGGGTTGTGGATAGAGAATACTGGGAAATGTCTCATAACTATTGATCCTAGTGTTGCAGGGTTTTTGTTTGGTGGTTTTTTTTTTTTTTTT